GCCAACGTGTTCATCGCCCACATGGCTCATGCGCTGTTGGAGAAGGAGGGGTGGAAGGGTCGGGGGTTCAGTCATGTGTCTGGATGGATTCGCTCTCGCTTGTCTATCGCCCTCGCGCGTGCGACTAGCTTCTGTCTGCGTGGGGGAGGGAGGGGAGGGTTTGCGGGAGACTGGGGTGTGCTGATGGGGCGGGGATTGATCCCTCCTCCCCTTCAGCCTGTTTGAGTCTGCGTGCTGATGGGACTGTATTTGTATGAGTATCACGGACACACAGACGAGTGTTACGGTTAATGACAGTTTCCACTGAAAAAAAAAAAGAAAAAAAAAATTGACTAAATATTTTGAATTTCAGAGGAACAAGGATGTGCCAAATATATTTAACAAAGACAAGAATGTCATTAACTTGCACGACGTCAAAAATGCATTTAATCAATTGGCGTTTAGCAAAGAAGAAGAAAAAGAATTTTTTGACATAGTCGGAGATCATTATTTAATTGCTCTTGACGTAGTTAGTCTGTATCCGTTTGTAATGAAATTTGATAAATTACTCATGAATAAATATCCGATCGGGCATAGTTATTGGGTGACTTCGATGGATGAAAGAAATCGGCTACAACAATTATTAGACGAAGAAAAAGGCGACGAACTGCCTGCTGGATTTTATGAAGTTGACGTAATATCGAATAATAAGAAAATCATTCCTACGAATGGAAGCAAAATTCGACACAGAGATGTTATATTCTTTAATGATGACGAAATAGAAAAATACCAGATAAGTACAACACAATTTAATTTTGTTAATACAAAGAAGCAAGTTTATAATTCAGTCGATCTCATGGATGGTTTGAAAAGAGGAGATAAATATAACATTGTTGGCAGTGTTTTGTTGTTTAACGACACATCAAATAAAGTGTTTGATAAATACGTAGAGTGTTTGATAAATACGTAGAGCAGGTGTATGATATGAAGATGAAACAAGACGTTGAGAAAGAGAAAAAGAAAAGAGAAGAAGAAAATGCTTATAATTCTGCATTACGTCATTGTGCTAAAATTCTTCTGAGCTCATTGTATGGCAAGACATTGTAAGGCAGTTATGATGAAATAGAAAAAGAAGTACGCAATGCATCCGAACTTAAAAAACTTCTAAAAAATCACATATGGGTTGACTTTTTGAAAATGGGTGATTCATATATATTTATTGGCAGAAAAATAAATTTCTCTGACACAACAAACATGCCGAACCAGTTAGGTTGTTATATATTTCTTATTCACGAATGTACATGAATATGATATTTGACATGATCGATGAAGAGCGATTAAATGAGAAACCTGATGTAGAACAATCTGTATATGATACTCCTTTTTATTCTGATACAGACTGCGTTATTGTACATGCTTCTCTCCTAAAAAAAGCGGCTCATCTAATTTATCATCCATATGATGAAAAAGGTGAATTTATTCCGAAACAATTAGGACAACTTGAAAATGAGATTGGGGAAGAGGGAAAAATTATTGCTTTCTACGGGAATGCAAAAAAGTCTTATTGCTATATTGTGTTGACATCAAATGGAGAGATTTATGCAAAAGTTCGCTCAAAAGGAGCTAATAATGCCATCTACAAAAGTGCCTTGGTATGCCGAAATAATTAAAGAAAATAAAAGCTATTTAGTTGAAGGCGAGAGTCTGCAAAAAAAGAGACATACACAGAAAAGCTGGACTGGCGGTGAAGCATTAGGTCATTTTTATTTTATCAGCACGAAATATAGCAGGACAATTCGTAAAGTAGACGTGCCTGTAGATAAAATTACCATAAAAGATGGTGACGTAATTTTGCCGAAAGGAATTAATGAGATGTTTTATATAGACGATCCGTCTTTTAAAATCTCACCTATATAATAATGCCTTTAACAAATGAGAAGGAAGAAATATTGAAAAAATTGTACTATGAATCTGGCTCTAATAGCAAAGAACGATTGTACAAAGCTGGGAGAGAGCAGGACGCTTCAATTACACGAGGCGATGTTTTTGAATTTATCGAAAAAGAAAGCATCTTTCAGCGTATGCAAAAAATTGATAGACGAAAATTTGATTCTTACATACCTCCGGCTCCTCAATATAATTATGAAGCTGATTTAGTCGACTACTCAAATTTTAGTAGATTCAATGAAGGATACAAATATATATTAAATGTTATAGATACATTCACAAAAAAGGCAAGTTGTGTTGCTTTAAAAACAAAGAATACAAAAGAAATCATTGAAGCGTTTGAAAAAGCACTTAAAGAATTAGGGGTTCCATCTCAACTTCATAGCGATTTAGAAAGTGCGTTTATTAGCAAAGAATTTGAAACAAAAATATTAAAGAAATACGATATTAAACCGCTTTACACCCGCGCGCATGCTCATTTTATAGAAAGATACAATAAAACTCAAAAAACGATGATTCAAAAATATTTTGAGACTAATAGAACAAAAAAATGGATTAGTGTGTATAGGGAATTTATGAAAGAATATAACAAAACCGAGCATTCGACGACTGAACGAAAACCTGATGAAGTTAATCAGAATAATGAAGGTGCTATATTATGGGTCTTATTCAACAAAGCAAAACGAAATGCTAGGAAATTACATCCACTGAAAATCGGGGACAAAGTCAGATATAGAATTCAGAAAAGCAGATTTGATAAAGGTTATTTGCCAAATTGGTCATCAAAAATCGAAGAAGTCAAAGAAATTCATGGTAGATATTTTTATATTACAGGCCAGCGACAAGCGTTTCTTCGAAATGATTTGCAGTATGTACGAGGTGGTGAAGCTGAAAGTCAAGAGCGTGAGGAAGAAGAAGGAGAAGAACCAGCTGCGGCTGCTGCTGCTGGTCCACCTAAACGGGACAAATCTAAAAAATTAACAGACACTGCAGGGTTCATCTATCTCTGATTAATTACAATTAATTAATTATATACATTACCATGTCTTTTTCTCACTATGATATAGACGTTGTTTATAATTTCATGGAAAAAGCAATCATTAAAGACGATTGTATTGAGGATCGGCCATTCTTTTTTTGCTCTCTCTGTAATCCGAATGGAAACGTGTTTAAATATAAAACTGCCAATATTGTTAAAGTCTTTATATGTCAAAAATGTCAACGAAGGCCATATAAAAAATGCCCTAGCTGTCAATAAAGAATGAGTATTTGTGATTTTAAGATATTAAAACATGCAACGCATCCTTATTATGTATTCTTAAATATATGTGATGCATGTTATGGTGTATAATAAATAAATGAATAAATTTATATAAAGGAAGAGAATAAATGACGCAAGAATGTGCGATTTACCTTGACTCTATCTGTCGTAAAAAATTTCAATTTCCGTGCAAACACAAATTTCGCCGTTATTATACGATGTGATGAAAAAAATGATGACAAGTATTACTATATCATATAGCATCCTTACTCTAACGCTTCCATCAAACTTTCTCATAATGGCTATGTCCGACGTGTAAAGCACAATCAATTACATCAAAAAACAACGAATTCATTAAAATCATCATTGATTTTGCGGATAAATACAGCTATTTTATAATCAATATTTCTGATCTTCAAATATTTAAACGTCAGAGCTTTGAATTGTGGAATTTTTTGGTGTGTCAATTCCATAAAGCTGTAATGAAACAAAGAACTTTTAACTTGAAAATGTGGGAAGACCATGATTCCAACAATGAATACCTAATAATCACGCCATTGTTGACCGATGATTCACAAATTAATAGTGAGTACTATGAAGTGCAAGCGTTGTCATTTATTGAGTTTTTTACTACGCTTTACAAGTGAGACATTCTACACATAATTTGCTAAATATTGAAAATTGAACTTAGAGTGTCTTTTTTTTTACGCAGGCAATTGATTTTTGTCTTGAACGAATACCTACACTAATCAACGACACTACACACTACAGACGACAAGCAGGTGAAATACACACATCAACACTACAGACGACAAGCAGGTGAAATACACATATCGACACTACAGACGACAAGCAGGTGAAATACACACACCGACACTACACACTACAAGCAGATGACCCACAGAGTTAGACAGCACGATATCCAAAGCGTGAACAATTAAAATTTGAACACGCAATGAATGATGATACAACATGCATGAATAAACACTACCAAACCCACACACACAACAGACCCTGCCATCCATCCCTCGCACACACGCTCCGTCCCTCTCGCACACAGACCCTCTCGCACACAACACACAGATTCTCTCGCACACAGCACCCTCGCAAACCCGCACACACAACAGACCCTGCCCTCCCTCTCTCATCGTGTGCTGGCCAACGCCCTTCGCACACCCTCCTCGACGCCCTCCCTCACGCCCTCCTTGACGGCTTCCTTGATGGTGAGCTTGAGCATGTCGGTAGACAACTCGCTGACCGCCGTGTTGGTGTGTGCTGACTCGCTGACCACCGGAGCTGGTGGTGCAGTGTATGGTGACGGCTGCGGTTGTCGTTCGTCTTTCGTGACCTCTGACGCATCCTGACAACATACAAAAGATACACACACACACATATGTACACACACACACACACATATGTACACACGTGCTTCGCCACTCCATACATACATGTACATGTGCTACTCCTGTATTCACCTGCATCTGCGTCTCGTCCAGTGCTGCGACGATCGACTCGTGGTTGTCGGGCGTGTCCACACACCATCCATACTCGATACGGGCACGCTTGATGATGGTCAGTTGCTGCAAACACACACACAACACAGAGGTGAACACACTTGCACGCCCATGTGCTGCTGTGGTCTCCTTTCTCACCTCATCAAACGCATCCAGCATGCACTTGGCACAGACAAAGCCCTTCTTGCCCGTGTGCTTGGAGGCCGTGAACTCCAGCATCGACGCAAGCAGTGGGTTGTCGGTTGTTGTCTTCCACTTGGTGGGGTTGTGGTCAGCACACACACGAGCCGATCTGGTGCCGTCACGACAGCGAGGGGAACAGCACATAATGCTGGTCTTGGTGAGGGACTTGGAACACCCGCCGGTGATGTCATACTTGTGCATCACGCACGGCTCTCCCTCGATGTAGCGGTACGTGTCGCTCGTGTTGACGAAATTGAGGAAGGCGGTGCCGAGAATGTCCTTGACCATTCCGTCAGGGTTCTCTATCATGTCGTCCTTGCTCCTGCCATCGGCGAGGGGTGCGTGGAAGTGCGGACAGAACGTAATGGGCGTCGTTTGCCCGCCGAGGTTGATAGTCGAGGTCTCACGCCACCCGAGAGGGGGAAACTCCGTGCGTTTGGGAGCCATCGATGTCTTGCGAGCTTACAACTGAGCTTGCCACGCCTTTCTGCCACTCCATCTGTCAGAAGTGCAAGTCGGTCCAGGGTTTAGGGTCTAGGGTTCATAGACCGACGATCCACTGATCTGTGAGACAGGACGGCTGTTGAGTCTTTGTCCGTTCCATGAGACAGGCCATGGCGGACAGGACGTCAGACAGGATGGACTGACGCATACTACATGTCCTACGTGGACTCTCCACAAAATCCACAGACCTTACGTTGCATTGACTTAATCCTTTATCCGGGACTGACCGCCCGGCAGATCCTCTCTTCACCATTCTCCCCGACTCTCTCCCCCCGATTCTTACATGGGCGCAGCAATCTGGTTTGTCTTTTCCGCCTGATCGGCAGTTGGGCACATCCTAACAGGTCTGTCTATCATCCGCCTGTCGGC